AAGAACCCAGGAATTCATTCCATAGCAAAGAATGTAACTTTGAATGTAACCTTGGGAACTATGACTGTCCACTGTTGACTTTTCTAGGTAAATGAAAATTGTTCCTGATGTCCAGTAGGTAAGGAAATGCTAAAATAAATTCATTAGCAACATCTAATACAGCCTGAAAAGATCCCACTACTTAATAGTATTGTTCAGATTCCTTACACTGAGGAAACTCAATAGACCATGAAGTATTTCCCCATCACAAAAGACTTGATGGGGACACTTCAAATTAGTTGAGCCTAGTGAGAACAAAACCTCACCTGCCTGGCTGTAACACACCCAGGGGCTGGTAGACTACTGATCTGACCTACAGCTCTGGCAATTTCCACCATCTGTCCCTCCAGCATGCTTGGCATCAGTTGATCCCCTCTGGCTAGCAGGACAATTCTAACCCCAACACACGTTTTTGTACAATTTTCACTAGATGGATTATTGTTCACCCCTAGGACAAGCTTGGTTATTTTTACTTGTTCTGTTTTATCCCCATATGCACCCCTAGAGCTTTGGGGCTCTGTCATGAACTAATGTAATTTTGCGTTCAATATCCACCCAAATACAAGTAAACTGTGCTTAATAGCAGACCCACGAATCCATAATTTGGCAAGAGGCCTCCAGTTGCCATCTACAGCCTTCAGTTGCTTGCAACTTTGGCCCCCCAGTTAGAGGAACAGCTTAGTGGTTTCCATCCAATGGCATTGCCTTCCCCTGCAGGGTTGTGGTGGGGACAACTTGTACCCCTCCCTCCAGCTTTCACTACATTTAGCCCTTGCTTTGGGCTTTAAAGCCTTTCAAAAAGCCACAAGCACAGTATTTGTCTTTTATCAGTTTTCCCCCTAGGGATTTATTTATTTATTTATTTATTTATTTATTTGTGACATGAACAGAATTCATCATTTACTTTTTACTTTCCTCATCTCCTCCTGAATAATTTAACATGTTTATAAACTCAGTTTATTCGTAGATCTAGGATCACATAGGTCTGATATTGCCTTTCCAAATACTCATGGACCCCATCCCAATGGACATATAAAATGACATTAATGCCCTATGATAGTCTTCTGTTTCCTGACAAATCATTTTTTGAGTTTAGTGTGTTTTTAATTCCCCATGAACACAGTCCTATTTTGCCTGGTGAACTAGGAATTGACCATCACTTCTGTAACCCTTAATGTATTTATTTATTTATCTACTTTTTTTACTACCTTTTACTACTTTTCCCTTGGATTTCAAGTGTTTGGATACCATTAAGGGATGGTTAGCACAAACCTAACATGTACGCTCTTTCTCTTCCATCCTGCCAGCAGTAAGAACTGGGTAAGCCCATTTCTCCATGTCATTCACTTTTTATCAAATTTGCCCCCAAACCAGGGCTAATGCAGAACATAATAGCCATATATTACTTTCCCTGTGTAATTTCTGCCTTACACAAGAAAATTCCCACTGATTAGCCATCTTGACAGTAGATGTACTTTTTATTTCACAGAGCAGTGGTTTGGCAACCTCACTACAGCTTGTCAGTACTCTTCCCTTACTTGTTATTCTCAAGCACCTCTGAATTCACACAACACACTCCACTTATTGAGCAAGTATATTACTCTATAATACTTAGAGGAAAACAGCCACACTTGGATTTTTTCTACAGACACCTTACCCAGACTTTCCCCGTGGAAAGAAAACTCACCCTTGCTTGCATGTCTCATCACCCACAGCAAAGCCCCTTCCTACTGCTGATGAAGCAAGAGGTATGCTTACACCATGTGGGAAAAGATCTCAGCACTCACTGTAGAGACACACCGCCACTCTCTCCTGACAGCTTTGGTTCTCTCTTGTCCCTATTGTGTCATGTAAGACTTTGTAAGATACTGAACATTCTCTCTCTCTCTCTCTCTCTCTCTCTGTGTGTGTGTGTGTGTGTGTGTGTGTGTTAATTTCTGCTGTTGGGACAACATGAATGCAGCTCCATCACTGAAAAGCTCACACCAGAATGTGTTGCAATTCTTTGACACTTCATCTAAAGAGCTCTCCAAGGTTTTCCAGGAATACCAAGAGTCACCATCTGGCAATTCAGCTGGTCAGAGTCAACAGCTGATTGTTTCTTCCATAACTTTGGGTTGTGGGTGAATCTTGTAGGTTTCAGCTTTCCCAAACAAGTAAAGAGTGCTTACTTCCTCAGTCTCATGAACCTTACCTCTTTGACTTAAGCCAAGTGTCTTAATTCACAGGAAATTGCTATACAAAACATCCGGGCTGTCAAAATGTACTGAAAAGTGTTTACCCTATTGGGGTGAGCTTGTATATATTAAGGGTGGCCAGTCGGTAATCCACAGTGTGTTAAAGCATCTCAGCTGGTCAGGACCTGGTAGTACTCTTGAGCTTCTGGTGAGTCAGTCAGCTCTGGAGGAACCTTATCTGCTTCTCCAAATGGCCAACACAGTTACAGGCTGGGTACTACTTCTGTTCCCTCCCTACTCTCTCCAGAATATTTCTTTCCCTACAGCCATGCCAGAGCTCAGTGATCTCATCTTTTTTTTCAATTTTCTTCCAGTCCCAGGACACTGACTTTCAACAGGATGAAGACTGCAACTTGTTGCCTTCTTATCTTTATCTGCCTTCTCCAGCTGATGGTTCCAATGAATACTGTGAACTTAGACTCTCTGCTGGAGGAAAAAATCAAGGAATTTATCGGCTGTGGAGGTATGAGATGAGGAGAAGAAGCCTGCCTAATCCTTGCTCACGCTTACCATTCATAAAACCTAAAATACCAGGTTTTGCACTCTAAGTAATCTCTGACTCTGTTTAGTCCACTTCATCCCTGCCTTCCTGACCAGGGCTTTTTTCAGTACTCTACTCCTTAGAACTTTTATACAAGAACTTGGTGTTCTTGATGAGGATGAAGAAAAGGAGGATAGGACCTGTGATTGTAAACACATTAAGAAACAGGTGTAGTATGAAATTTTTAGTTAGTTCATTTAATTTTCACAGCCACTGTATGAGGTAAGTATTCTTCACCTTTTACTATTTATTCTTCACAAATGAAGAAAGTAGATCTTAAAAGTTAGTGACTATACTACTTATGGAAACAGTGACATGCCCAAGATAGAAGACGACTAAAAGGGAGTTGTGAAAAACATGGGCAATATCATTTTTCTCCTCTTATTCAGATGGCTGTCCCTCCACTGTGACTAAAACTCTCTCCTGCACTAGTATCAAGGCCTCAGGCAGACTAGCTTCCTGTCCTCCTGGTGAGTAACCCCTCAAGGAGAATTTGTGAATAATTTTCCTTGTGACGACCCCCATCATTTCCCTAATACCACCTTCTCCTAACTCAAGTTTGTATTGCCATGGAGCTGAGACATAGTCACAGATACCTAGAAATCCCATCCTAGTTTTCAGTTACCTTAAGGATGCTACTGAGTGACTTTTGGGTTCTGCTCTTCCTGTCACTTCTTCCTTCATGTCCATCATGCCACACTTTCTTGTTCCTTAATTGTGTGGTCACGAACAATTTATTTCATAATCTTCTTTCATTTCATAATCTATTCTTTATATTGGTGGGCAGAGGGTCAGAACATGGGTGAAATTGCCATTTCCTGAAAGACATTGAAACCCCACCTTCCAAGTCCTTCAATTTAAGTACTTTTGCATTTCATTTGATTGAAGAGAATTCTAAAATTAGAATAGATTTATGCCATGCAAAGCCTATAACTACCCCTGCCCCTCCTATGAAGAAAGGACAGTTAGGGACCTTCCATCTTTTGCAGTCTAAAGGCTCTGATGTATGTTTCTCACATGACTATGCAGGGATGGCCGTCACTGGTTGTGCTTGTGGCTATGGTTGTGGATCATGGGATATCCAGAATGGAAATACTTGCCACTGTCAGTGCTCAGTCATGGACTGGGCCACTGCCCGCTGCTGCCAACTGGCTTGAGAATGAGGAGGCTGAGAACCCAGTTTGGAAATGATGACTATAATGAAACCGCAATCTGAACTTGGCAACCTGGCTCATGTTCCCTTGATGAATTCATATTACCCAGTAACCCTGCTTCTTGAAAAATAAAAGCAATTTTTACCTGTCTATATTATGTCTTTAATGTTATTACTCCTAACTTGGGAAATCTCTTGGCACAAAACATTTTCAGTACCTCAGATTACATCTCAGTATGGTGTGTGAGTTGTTAGGAAAGATATGGGAAACAGACTGATTCTCCACTTCTCCTGTTTCCCCATTATTTAACACAAAGTATTGAGTACACTGTTTTGCATGAAATATAGCAAAATGAGTACCATGCTCTTAATGGAGCTCACCAGCAAGAACACAAACTCCAACCCATGTGCAGGAAACTTTGCAAGGAGTAGGCAGGCAAGAGGAAACTGAAAGCAATTACTTTCAAACCTTTTAGCACACACATGTACTCTTTCTTACTCCAGTACTGAAGAGGATATTCATCAAGGTGACTTTCTTCCCTGTTGCCCTTCTTTTGGATAACATAATAAAGTTACATCTCTCCCATGTCACTGAGTCTTACTACACTTTAGTTTCCTGGGTGTAAAAGCTTACAGAATTCTGGGTTAAAAAATACAGAATTCCAAAAAGAAAATAAGTGTAAGTAAGTAACCCAAGGACATGGATGTGACAGTGGTTTAAGTTGATGGACTTGAATTTTTGGCATTCATGGTCCTGAATAAGACTATAATTCAGTTACAATGCTAGATTACCAAAAGTGATTTTTCTTTTTTATTCTTCTCTCATATATCACATCCTGACCACAGTCTCCCCTACCTCCTCCTCTCCTCTCAGCAACCCCTCCCTCTCCCCTCCCCCAGATCTACTCCTTGTTCGTTTCCCTTCAGAAAAGGGCAGGCTTCCTAGGGATATCAACCCAACATAGTACACCAAGTTACAATGAGACCAGGCACATGCCCTCATATTGATGAGGCAACCCAGTAGGAGGAAAAGGGTCCCAAGAGCAGGCAAAAGAGCAGGAGAGAGCCCTCACTTTCACAAGAACACCAAGCTGCACAACCTTAACGTATATGCAGAGGACTCAGGTCACAGCCATGCAGGTACAGTCTTGTAATCCCCTATACGCCCCTCTTAGTTGATACTGTGGGTATTCTTGTGGTGTTCTTGACCTCTATATCTCCTTCCTCCCCTTCTTCTTCAGGGTTAACTGAGCTCCAGCTTTAGGTATGGGCCTCTGCATCTGCTCCCATCTGGTGATGGATGAAGCCTCTCTGATGACAATTATGCTAGGCTCTGGTCTATGAGTAGAGCAGAGTATCATTAGCAATCTTTCCTTAACTTTTTTTTTTCTGGTCCTGTTTGTCTCTATACTAGATCTCTGGGCTATCCACTCCGGTTCCTGGCCCTTCAGGCACGGGCTCCCTCTCACGCCATGGATCTCAAGCTGGACCCATCATTCATTGGTCATTCCCACAATTTCTGTGCCACTTCTACGCAGCACATCTTGCAGGCAGGACTAATTGAAGGTCGGAGGTTATGCCTGCCTTGGTGTCTCAATCCCTCCACTGGAAGCCTTGCCTGGTTACAGAAGGTGACCTGTCCAGGCTCAGTATCCACCATTACTAAGTAGATTCCGGGATTTTCATTGTACTAGGTTTCTACCTCATCCCCCAAAGTTCCCAATCCCAGTTGTTTCTCCCAGTAATCTCTCACACCTGGCCCCATCAGAACAGATCTGTTCCCATACCTACCCACTCCCCAGTCCACCAATGAAATTTATTCTATTTCCCCTTTCCAGGGAGATCCATGTGTCCCCTTTGAGGCCTCCTTATTAGTTAGCCTCTATGTCTATGGATTGTAGTACAATTATCCTTTATTTCACAGCTAATATCCACTTATAAGTGAGTCCATACCATGTTTGTCTTTCTAGGTCAGATGGAACTCAGAATGACTTTTTTTCTAGTTCCATCCATTAGCCTGCAAATTTCATGATGTTATTTTTATAAGAGCTGAGTAATACTCCTTTGTGCAAATGTACCACATATTCTTTATTCATTCTTTGTTTAGGGACATCTAGGTTGTTTCCAGTTTCTGATTATTGCAAATAAAGCTGCTACGAACATAGCTGAGCAAGTGTCCTTGTGGTAGGATAGAATGCACTTTGGGTATATGCTTATGAATGGTATAGATGGGTCTTGAGGTAGATCAATTCCCAATTTTCTGAGTAACTGCCATATTGATATCCAAAGTGGCTATACAAGCAAGCACTATCATTAGCAATAGAGAAATATCCCCCTTGCCTCCACTTCTCATGGCATGAGCTGTCACTTTTGTTTTTGACCTCAGTCATTCTGACAGGTATAAGATGTTATCTCAGATTTGATTTGCATTTCCCTAATCACTAAGGATGTTGAACATTTTGTTGTCATTATTTGTTTTTTCAAAACAGGGTTTCTCTTTGTAGCCCTGGCTGTCCTGGAACTCACTCTGTAGCCCAGGCTGGGCTTGAACTCACAGAGCTACCTTTCTCTGCCTCCCAAGTGCAGGGATTAAAAGCATGTGCTACCCTCCTTAAGTGTTTCTTGGCCATTTGAGAACAATTCTTTTGTTGAGAATTTCCTGTTTAGATCTGTACCCCATTTTAAGTTAGATTACTTATTTAGTTGATTGATGTCTAGTTTCTTGAGTTCTCTATGGGGAGAGATTTTTACCAACTCCAAAATGATTTTAAATAATAAATATTGAAAACTTAAGAGGAATTTAAATATATTGACTGTCACTTGCTCAGTCTAGATGCCTTGGTCCTGCCTCAAAAAGATGATGGGTCAGACTTAGTAGACTTCTAGGGGAGGTCTTACCCTCTCTGAAGAGCAAATGTGAGGTGGGGGCAGAGGGGGGAGCAGGAGGAGAGGATGGAGGGGGAACTGGGATTAGAATGTAAAAAATAATAAAAAATTTAAAAATAAAGAAATTCAGAAATGAAAAAAGAATATCCTCTTTCTATCTATTTAACAGTGGATTTCTCAAAGCTAATAATCATGAAAAATTGAAATTCAATTAGATGCTGTGATATATCTGTGAATATATAAAATACTTAGGGAGAAAATCTTATACCCCCCTTTTAAAAATACATTCATAAATATACTTTGGCTAAAGCCAAAACTTGAAGTTCCTGCAAGAGAAGAAGAATAACCAAGGACAGACAGATACATCAACACCCTGGGTTTCTTTTACTGAGAAAAGAAAACTTTATTTTAGTTTGGTATATTTTAAGGGCAGAGCAGGGTTACTAACAGTGTCAGCTCTTAACAGTCATAAAGGTTCAGAGATACCTCCTGAATATACTGTCTCCAAAGGCACACCTAATAAAGGTATCAGATTACCCTTCAGTTTTCCACAGAGATGCAGGCATGTGTGAAAGCCAAGGGAGCAATTATCTGAGTCACAAGTTGCTGTTGAATTTAAGTTTGCCCTTTACTGTTCTCTGTATAACAACAGTCTGCTTATTAATTACTTATCAAAATGTTTTTTAAAAGTTATATTCAATGGCATACTGTTAATCATTGGGATCATAGTTCAGTGTTTCTATTTATTGCAACTCAACTGAGCATTTTACAACATAAAATAGAGTACACACTATCTTGTTCCAATTATTCTAACTCTAGTGCAATTGTTCTCCACCTGTGGGTCATGACCCCTTTGGGAGTAGTGTATCAGATATCCTGCATATCAGATGTTTATATTACAATTCATATCAGCAGCAAAATTACAGGTATAAAGTATCAATGAAATAATTTTATGGATGGGGGTTACCCCAACATGAAGAACTGTATTAAAGGGTTGCAGCATTAGGAAGGTTAAGAACCAGTGCTTTAGTGACTTTCATTACATGAAAAATTACATCTCATTTATCTGACCTGGGCTAACAGAACTCTGAATTCTCTGGCCCCTCATTATACTTCTGGATTCTTTTCTGACCCTTGCTCACTTCCCTCTGGTCACATATGTGTTCCTACGCATTACACTCAACCTCTTATGTCCTGCCCAGCATGTACAAATTAATTAGTAGACAAGTCCAACTCTGAGTCCAGGTCAACTTCTCTTACTTTCTGCTCCTTTTACTCTACCCCAGTTTTCACCATACAGTAACAGATGTTGTTTTAACAGATGCTTGGGTCCCACAGTATCAACAAGAAACATACCTGTTTGTAGACAGTACCTCTGAGAAAGGAAATATAGAAGATGAAGATGGAGGCCATAGGTTAGCAGCAGTAAAAGGAGAAGTCAGACTGTGTAGATCAGGTTAACATAGCTGATGACTTTATGGCCAATTTCTTGTCTTGTGTGTTAACAAAATTCTGATTTCATTCAGGGTGGTAACGTATCCTGCCTAGGAAAATAAATATATATTAGATGCAATAATGGAACTCACACCTTTCTTGGCCAAATAATCTGTTTCTTAACCATCTCTGTATAAGGTGAAGTTGTACAGATTAGTGGGTCACCTAAGATAGACTATAAGAGAAATCAGCTTCAGGTTTCAGAGAGTTTGCTTCTAAAGTTAAAAAAAGCCATCATCAACAACAAAACAGGTTTAAATCTCTGTCTCTACTTTTGGGAGTAGGGATAGATATGGTCAAAAGATATAATATGGTTGAATGAAAAATACATAATAAAATTAATCACTATATGCAATAAATATATGCCAATTAAAAAAGTAAAGAAAGAAAAAGGCTCAAAATTGTCCAAGACCCTTGTTTTGGGGCTGATCACATAAGATGATGTCTTGTGCTATGGCAATTGTTTTCCAGTTTGAAAGAGGGAAGTGTGCTGTTGTTACTGTCCCATAGAGAGAATGAGTAGAGGGCAATGTCATGCTGGGCAAGCAGATGACAACCAATAATCTTTAGTCATATCATACATTTACTGCTTTTCCTTGTTGAAACAACAACCAAAAGGCTTAT